TGACCTGTGAATTTGTCTAGCACGGAGTGCATGATTATAGACCTGCTGGTTGTTTCCCACCTCTAACATGTAGTGCGGCAGCCTGTTCGTAGTTGGCTGACAGTTCTGGTCAACCATGACAAACAACACTAGCAATGCTTCCGCAGTACAACACCTACCAATGCTAAGAAACAACTGCTGGCAGTCCTCATAATGATTTACACATTGATCGAGTGACATTTCTTCTCTGCAGTTTTTCAATGAAGTACTGCACTGTGCCCATTACTGCAATGTGCCCATTACTGCAATGTGCCCATTACTGCATTGTGCCCATTTCTCGAACAGAAGTATTGTAAAGCCTCCTTAAAAACAAGCTGAAAAAGGAATACTGCTCATATATACATTGCATAAGATACATTATAGGTAGACCATTGAAAGAAAAGTAATGGATTCTATTGCTCTCCTCTTACTTTTCTTGTCATTAGGAACTGGTCAAAAAGTATAACAGATGGGCTGCAGCAGAGATAACAGGTGGGCTGCAGCAGAGATGGGGGTGGGTCATGAGCTTTTGGGCTCCTGGTTAGGGGTAGGTAGTCTAATTTTCAGCTACCCATGGGGTGGGTTATCCAGTTTTATAACAAGAATTGGCACACATTTAGAATAAATTGTTTCTAAATTGGTTTTTTTCAATAATGCTACCAAACTATTTTCTAATTTGACTAATTATATGGCAATGTTACACTCAGAAATAATCACCCTCTGTGAGTAACACTGTATTCACTTTCTGCATCCGACCTAATTAGTGACATCCCTGGAAGACGATCAGCCCTGATACAAAAGTGCCAGTGGAGCTGTTCTCTTTTCTGGATTTTGGTCCAACAGGATCATCTTAGACAGACCTGTGAATACCGTTGGACAAAGGGTTTGTATTTTCTTTTATGATCTCCGAAAAATTTAGCTTTGTCAAGCCAATTAAGATATCCCCTTGAACTAAGGACCAAGTTCGTCCCTCTTCTTGTCACTTCCACTAACTCTCTGTCAACTTGGTTCCTAAGGCTTGAAAGCATCTCATTTCCAGAGTCTGCCTCAGTGCTTGTTGTCTATGTAAAATTTTTGTCCAGGTAAAGGTTATTATAAAAAATATCTCCAGCAGCTGTAAGTTTATTTGTGATTAAATGAACACTGGCACGTCAAACTATGTAAACAAAGGAAAGCGAAAAAGTATGTGCATGCATGCAATTGTGTACACATGCATATTTTTCCTCTTCTGAAGAAAATAGGTACTAGAAAAAAGATTGCCGTTAAATGAGCACAAAAAAAATGTGTGTACAAATTCACCTTGTCTTGGAATGAGGAAGAGGAATGTTATGTTGTTCTGTCAAAAAAGAAAGTTTTAAGGAAAGACATATTAGTGAGGGCATGTTTTTCCATCCATTGTAGGATCATGTGAAATGGCATTTGTTCTTTCAGATGTAGAGAGGGAAAGGTGCATCTGGTGAGGCATTTTTTCTTTTTATGTTTATTAGTTAACTTTGCGACACAAATCATTCTTGAAAAATTATTTCAAGGCTTAAAACTGTCATTTGAAATGTAGACCAAGAAGGAGAGTGCTACTTTTACAGAAGAATGATTACTTTTAACCACAACTGTGTGTTTAGCTTACAATTTAAATGTTCACAAAATTTCAGAACAATAATATACTACTCAATAGAGATATTCTGCAACCACATGACTAAAATACCTTAAAAATGACAGTTACAAAACTTATTGTTTAAACTGCAGATACTGAAACTCCATCTCTCCCTCCTCCTGCATGAGAAGATTTAGGTAAGTTGCCAGCTTTAGAATAATATTTCCCTTTTCTTTCATAATGCTATAATTCCACAAAATGCCATGCATCTGTAAACAATTTTTAGTCATTGCTCTTTATATTTGTAAGAAGTTGGAATAGTGACACA